ACTTTCATTCTACCAATGGCTGTTAGACTTATTAAATTTCATTTTTAGAGCATATGAATATTGACTGGTGAGTTACCAAAGATCTCAGTTAACCAACGTTAAGTGCTTGCTAACTTAAAATCGCAACTGCTAATTGTTACCAATTTAAAACATAATGACAGTAAAAGCTAAAGCTTCTAAAACATTAATTCATAAAACAATACTCCACTGATACATCCTTCACACAGTATTAGCTGCTAAACGGGATGGAGAATTGAAGAAGGTAATAGCTGTCCAACAAAACACATGGATCACTAATCCATCATTCCAGCAATTGCAATTAGTGGATCACCTTCCTGCTCCTTCTAGGAACTTGGCATGTTCTGGGGAATGAAGCAACTCCAGGTATGTCTAAGCTACGTCAAATTTTGCAAGGCAAACATTCCCAAGCTTGCATAGGCTTACTGGTTAGGCACTGGTATGGTCAATCATGAGTGTACTACATCTACCAGTATACAGCAGTCTACACTGGTAGATGTAGCAGCTTGGGACAGGAGCAGTAGAGCTGCTTTCATGAGACTGCATCTTACTGGCAAATTCTGGCTCTTGCATGGGCTTACTAGGGAAATATGCAATACCATGCAACTAAGCTAGATGACTTCCTCACGCGAGCTGAGTTGCATGAAGCTCGAGAGGGTATCTGTTGAAATTGCTCTGTACTTCCATTTCAAGGACTGCATCCTGCACCCGCTGCACAGACACATGTGCAGTTTTCCTAAACAAAGGCTGCACTTAACAACTTTACTAAAGCCCACAGACAACCTCATATGAAAAGTAGTGCACAGTGCTATGAATAACAATTTCATTAAGAGCATTGCCTGCGTGTTTAAAGAAGCTAGCCAGCTACTAAAATAGAAATGTGAACCTCCTTAAGTTTAGGAATTCAGCCTTTTTGGTTCAATCATACATTAATTCTAAAACAGTTAAAATATATGAAGTTGCAAATGGGTTCTGTAGCCTAAGCGTAATGTCAGCCAAGAGGTCTAATATTCTACTGAAAAACGTGAGTGCAGAGAACATCACTTGACTCCAGTTGTACAATTGCTAAGCTCTGTGTTATCCTTGATACAGGAGAAGCAGAGTTCATATAGTTTCTAGCAGGTTGGACCCTGTTCAGAGATTTCAAGAACCACCACAGTACAAGTATTTAATAAAAGTATAATAATACTTTTAAATTAGATTCTTCTCATTACTCTGCAGTAGATTCCAGGCAAAGTCTTTCTGCGTAGTAACAGGGGTTACTACTATTCTATTTCACACCGCTGCACTGATTCCCTGAAAGAGGGTTAGTGTTAAGTCCCTGACTAAGCAATACCTAGTGAATGGTCTTTTCAGCAAAGTACCTAAGTACATGCTTAACATCAGGTATGCTTTTTAAATCCTATCAGCTTTGCTGAGCAGAAATGGATGTAAATAAGCGCTTAGACAGTTTTCTGAAACAGGCCTGATACGAAGACAACTCATGGGATTTTCTGATGCTACCTGGAACCATCCAATCTCTTAGTGAGTCAACACAAACATACAGATGACAAATCCCAACACGCAATTCCATCAGGACCTAGGCAGACTCACTACTCAGACTGAACTGGAAAACCTTCAAATAAAGATGGAAATTCCTGTGATTGCTTCTGTAAGAAAACAAAGGAATACTATAATGCTCTCAAGTTTTGGACTTTTCTCAAAGGTGTGCTATACCAGCTTCTGACCAATTTTTAATGTTGCAGTATGCTGGATAAAAGCAGAATTCTGCATTTTTATCTAAACAAATTTCTATTAATTTACTCATATCATGAGGTATTTAAAATTTGCCTCTCAGATTTTCCAAGATTTCTAAATGAGATTAAGTCGCCCTGTCTAGTATCATCTCTCTCTAAGTGCAATACACTTTAAGTTTTGGTATTAATGTAGAACCACCATAAGGGACATTTTCGTTTTTCCTTTTCTGTACTGACGGGTTTCCTTCCTTATTCTCATTTTCCCATTTTCTCCTATTCTGAAGATGAAAGAAATTAAAATCTATTCAAAATGTCAATTCATGTATTCAATCTATGCGCAATGTAAAATTTGTTTGAAAAAACACTGTCAGTAGGGAGCAAGCAGCAATGTGTTTTGAGAACCACAGCATCTCTCACAGATACCATCTCCCCACTGATCCAGTTGCTCCAACAGGGAAGGAATCTGGGTTCCACCCAAACAGCACCAGCAGTAAACAAAACCCTCTTGCCAAGTAGCCCCTAGGACTGTGGACACTCTCAGATTCACATCAGTAGACACTGTCTTCCTGTAAGTCACTGCAGTATCTAGCAGAGCACTGGGATGGAATAAAAAGTATTCTGTAAGATGCCAGGATGTTAAGAAATGGTATCTTTACTATTTGGTGCCTCCTCCTCCTTCAGACAGTACTAGAGAGACAGAGAGGAGAAGGAAGAAGAAGAAATACAGACAGCGGTGGAAGGAGAAGAGTAAGGTGGGAAGAGGAAAGGAACAAAGTTGGGTAGGTAGCCTAGAATTGCTCTGAAAACTGGAATGCCACCTCAGTACACATTAGCCAGGAGAAGAAAGGAGGCGCTGCACAAGCTCCATCACCAGGCACACAGGCTATACTGAACACAGAAGCAGACATGGTCCAGGTGATGCAGCCTGAGCTACACGTTTCCTCCCAGCGTATCTACAATGAACCGGGGGCACCATCAAGCCAGCCTCAGACAAGGGGATAGTCTATGTTTCTCCCCCACATAATTTTCTGTACACACTGAAAAACAGATTCTTCCTGTTACCATGGCACTGTATCATCACTGGTGTCTGAGCACAGTTATAGACACAGATAGCAGAGATATCAAATCCAGTCAGGAAGGTGAAAAAAGGACAAAATTCAACAGTTCATCATCATGAAGCCACAGACAGCACCTCTGAGAAGGCTGCATAATGGCCACTGCTGCTCCCTGGCAAGGGCAGTAGCGAGCAAAGGGTTACAATGCCTCAGCCAAGCCATTCAGTCTGGGCTTATTTTGTGATGACTACTATAGCTCCAAAATTTAAATGCCAATTAAATTCCAGTCTTAGCCATGAAATCAACGGCTCTCAACAGACTTGTTCTATAATACACCTGCACATATCACCCACACACTACAGACCCATTCTTTTTAGTATTTCCTTCACAGGGTGTGTAAAATCTGTACACCCAAGAACCATAAGCACACTGAATGAGCATTGCTGTCAGGAGATCTTAAAGCTGGAAAAAAATCATTCTGCCCTCCTGAGATACACCTATTCAACAGTTACATCAGTGTAACTAAAGCAGTCTAGGGAAAAAGTATTAGAGTTGCCTTAAGGGAGTCACAACAAAATATCCCTAAAAAGTCTTAGTTCTCCTTAGGCTCAGTTCTACTCTCTCCCAGCTGGGATGGGTGTTTTCTTCACCTGTGCGGTCAGCAGGATTGCAGAAGGTATTGCTGAAAGCGAGCCTTGGGAACAGGAAATAAACTGATCCTGCTGATCACGCTGCACAAGGGGGCTCAACAGAAAGTGATGGGCAAGTAAAGACTTAACAACCGAAACCACTGAACTGCACAAACTCTGCCAAAGTGGCAGAAACACCATAGGGAAACTTTGAGTACTCTTCCCAACAACAAGACAGAGAAGTGGGAAGTCTTGTGCAGGCAGGGTGGTCTCACCACTAAAATTTGCAAACAATACCAAACTTGCTAAAGAACTGATACACTTGCAAAACACTTGATAAGGGAAACTGGCCTTGTTGACAGTGCAAAGAGCAGATAATCTTATGAAAGGATCACCTTATAAGGATGACCACAGCATAGTCACATACTCCCTCCCCTCAGGGAACAAAGGACAGAGTCCAGCACTGACCGGTTGAATACCTGACTAGCTCCTCCCGCTGCACCCTGAGTATCCCTCCCCTTACCTTCATATTCAGGGTGAAGAAATGCTGTAGCATTTTACTGGGACAATCAGTGTACTCCATTTCGTTGCACTAATTGCTGTTTACTAATTGATACGCCTATCTGTGTAACAATTGCCAGTTAATGGCAGCAGCTAATGGTGCATGTTGTTATCACAAAGATCTCGTGCTGGTGAATAAAATCAAATAAAGCCTGGTGGCTGTTGCCCCTCTGGATTATTTTACTGTCTTCTTCCATGAGCTAGCGCAACAGTAAGAGACAAGAGCGCAGACTCAAGGGAGGATCGCAGCATCAGCTTAGATCTGGGTAAGGTGACTGTGAAACTTTACCTCTAAATGTACAACTGTAATTCGCCAAACAGCCCCCCAAAATCTCCCATATTGACATGCCCACACTGTTCAATACAACAGGTCTTGATATCCCAACAGTTTAGAAAGGATGACCAAAGGAATCATAGAATCATAAAGGTTGGAAGGAATGTTAAAAGACTGCAAAAACACATACATTTTAACTGACTTTTAGGAGACTTATTTTTAAAGGATTCATTTTCAGGTGTCCACTTTGTGGCGAGTTTATTGCTTTATGCCTTTAAAGCGGGGATTCTGACTTTCCACAGCCCTGAACTTTCTGTAGTCATTTACACCTGTGTAAGTGTGATCAATGTGGGTGTAAACATTACTATTCTGGTTTGGCAGCATTTGCCACCCACTTTGCCTAGGTGTGAACGAGTGCACAAAGTGCAAGGCAATGGTGAAGGTACTGCAGGGATTCTTTTACATACAGATCTTACACCAGTAGTAAAACGGTGCACAGATATGCAGAGAGACAGAAGGAAAGATACATCAGCTATCTACTGAAGACGGGGCAATCTGCTAACAGAGCTTACCAAGTACAAGTAGTTCCACGGACTCTTCATTCTTGCCCTCCACGTCATCAGGTGTGATAATAAGGCAGTAATAGAGCCCACTGTCTCCCCACATCAGCTTCCCAATCTGAAGGTCTGCATCTGAAAGATAAACAAGAGAAGTCAGTGTTTCCCTGTACCACCACTCAGAGGAGTGAGCAGTTGAAAGCACTGGGTCCAGCTCCCAATCTCAAATCTCTTCAGTTTCCTAACTAGAAGGAAAGGTTGAGTTTATTCAGCAGTATGGCACTACTTGAGAAAAAGCTGAACAGGCTCCAGACTCTGGGGCTATAAATGGGAAGCCTGATAATGCCACAAAGGAAGCTCATGCTGCAAATGCAGAGAGCAGGAGGGCTAACTAACATAACCCTCTATCCCCACTGCTGGCTAAGGCCTGGGATCCTGACTCTTCCCAGGCAAGAAAGGCATAGGCTGTGTCTTCTCTGATGCCCTTCAGTCATCTGCCAAAGAGATTACACAGACTGAAGGGAAAACACTGCCCTTGTCCCCACTGAGGGTGAGTGCATGCTCTCCATATCAAACAGCCCAGGACTTGCCTCCTTTTCTGTCTAGGGGGTCTTCTGAATCGAGCGGAGGGCTTATGACAAATTTGAGTGACATGGTTTTGCACAGCCTTCCGTGGCAAACTGCCACCCCTTATCTCCAGCCAATTCAAATGCAACCCACTGAAATCTCTTCCTTTCACACTGCCTAAGGCTGTGTGGCTCTAGGTTTCATGATGGAGTATGCTGTTAAGCTCGGAGTTGAGTGAACGTGAGGCATATGATATTTTTTCAGAAGGAAGGAAACATCAGAGGAGTTTTTAAGGAAGACAGACCTAGCCTGCAGAGACTGAGTTTACAGTTTTCTTCCTGGCACTCCCGTGTTAAGGAAAATCTATATATACAGAACAATATACAGATGCCAAGAATAAAAAGACTTGGAAGCTAGAGCTTCCCCTTTGTCAAAGAAAGAAGACTTCTCTGTTGGGGTTAGAGACCTACATAGTTTGACTGGTTGAATCCTAAATGTCTGACATACAAGAGCTCACTTTCAGCAGACTTTACTAAGGCAAAGAGTCAACTGAAGAACCAGTGCTGGCCCAGAGTACCCCAAATTGGCAATTCCACCCCCCATCAGCATCGCTGGGGCAGGAGTTACCGTGGACAATGCTGACATCTCTTTCCTTGTAGAAATCCCCTATCGTGACAGCAGATCCTTGTTTGGAAGCCACAACGCGGACTGTCCTCCGGCTGTCCACACAGTCTAGGTATGGATCCCAGTCCAGGTTCCTCTTGCTCATCGTTTGTAAGCCAGAAGTTGCCATACCCAAAGCTTCTCCCACCCTGTCCTGGCAGTAAGATTTAAACCTCCACTGTACCACAGCTGGTTGGGTGGAAGAAGTAGAGAAATGGCAGCGAAGGAGAGCAGGCTGAAACAACATTGCCACCTTCTTCTTCTCAGGCACAGTCACTTGCAATCCCTCCACTTCAGCTGAAAGACAAAATCACGAGCGTCATATGCCTTTGCAGGTCTTGAGGAGGAGGTTAAGTCATTTTATGTGCATAAAATTAAAACGACCATCAGTTTCACATGTTGGAGTACAAAAGTCCTTAGAGTACAGAAGCAGGGACACTGGCAGCAAAAGTTAAGTTTGTGTCTTTTTGATAGAATATAGCCACAATGAAGAATAATGCACCATGGGATTCAAGGCTCATACACGTTCATATTCCTATACTCTGTACAGACCCTACCACAGTGACCTGCGGATTCACAGCTTCCGTGGAAAATTCTTAGGTAAGAAAGAGAGGTTTGAGGACAGCTACCCCCCACCTCTAGAGCAGGTCATACCAGTCAGAACTCCTTCCCCTCCGAATTTCAGTGTCACCCTCCTGCTTAAGGGCAGGGCAGCACGCAGGCCCCGGCCCAGCGCGCTGCTACGCCAGACCCAGGGCGGCAACAAGGGGGGACCCATCGCACAGCTCCTGCCAGCGCTCGCACAAAGCACTGACAGGAGCTGCTCCACGTGGGAGGTGTAGAGAAAAACGGCCTAAACGCTCAAGCTTTTTACATTCCCGGGGAAGAGATGGCTTTCAGCACAGAATGTTTATCCACCAGCTGACAGGAAAGCTGCACCCCAGGCTGACTTACTGTGGCCTCAGAGAAGACACATGGGAATGAACTGCATACAGGACTGCTGCCGCATCCTTGTGCAGTCTCGGGCAAAGCTGAGAGCCGGTGAGTGATGCCAGCCGAGAGCCCTCAGGAGCACAAGGCGCTCCATCTATCCACAGGGCAATGCCAAAAGCCTCCCACGCATGCCCCTCATCGCCTCCCTCCCGCACTGCAGGCAGCAGTGACTTAACAAGCACTTACACAGTGCCAGAAACATATGCTGACACCTTCCAAAGCGGTGATGAGCCTGCCCATGGAGGCACAGGAAGGGCAACAGCGTGCCTAAGGTGGCACGAGGTCTAACCAGGGGCACTGTCTGCAGCCAAGGAGGAGCAGGGCCTGCCTGTGCAGTTCATATGGGAAAAAAGGCAAATCAGTTTGGAAAGTGCTGATGATAGCAGTCCCATACAGGCAGCACACCCCTAAACCCAGAGCAATGCACAGCAGGAAAAAAAGAAGAGGAAGAGACGCAGGGAAATACTGAGGAGAAGAAAGCAGGGGGAAATATTCACACCACACAGGGAGAGGAACGGCCACACTAGTGAGGTTGGAGGAAGCATAGGGAGAAATGAAAGAGTGAGGCAAAAAAGAAAAAAAAAAAAAGGAGGAAGGTCTTCTGGGGTAGGGAAGCAGTCTGGGAGAAGGACAAACAAGCAGAAAGAGAAAAACACAGACAGAGGAAAAAGAAAACTCTGGGGTAGGTATGGGATTCAGAAGGGTAAATGGATGATGACCAGGAAACCGGAAGAGTTATATTTAGCTGGAAGAAGCTAAAGAACGTTTCTCAACCTAGATCAAAATAATTTCAAAGGACTGCAACCAGGTTGCAGGAGATTAGGAAAAGATGTAGTGAAGAGAAGAAAACAAGGCAGCAAAAATAAACCACCTACTCTAAAAACTGGAGATGAAAAGTAGATGGGAACCAGTAAAAGAAACTAAATTGATAGAAGATTCTTCTAGAATTGAGGAAAAGAAAGGTATAGAGACTAGGGCAGATAGCAGGCGAGCAGTGAATGCACCAACAGAAGGGAAACAACAGGCAAGGAGGAACTGGGTCAAGTTAGAGCCAGCTGAAGAGTTGGAAAGCAAAAGTAAGAGAAGAACTCATGATTAGCAGCCAGGACCAAAGGAGAGCGTGGGGCTTGGAGCAACACCAAATATGCATTTTGACAAGTTATCAACATCTACTGTCAATCACGACAAAGCATATAAACACCAGTTAGGGGATAAGAGCACACTTCAGACTAAACACTATTTTACACAAGAGGCAGCCAGTCACTGATACTAACAGTTACTGGTCTGGGCAGGATTTGACTTAGAGACCTACTGAGTGAATGCTTGCAGTGTACAAGGGTGCAGAAATGCGGTACTAGGCATCTAATGAAGGCATGATATTATGCATATAGTTGTTGCTGAGGAGATGTCATCTGCCAGAACCGTCTGTCCCCAAATTCAGATGCTGAAGCACATGTATGCTGCAGAATACCAAAAGCACAGCTCAGATTCCTACAGGATACTCCCACAGGAGAGGCCAAGACATGAGACCATCCTGCCACCTTGTTGAGGCTCAGGAAGTGTGGTCACTTGAGCAGTGGCAGCAGGCATGTTTCTGCTGGGCCTGAGAAGAGGGGCAGAAATGTGGAGGGAAGGGCATGCATGGGGAACCATGGGGTGACGGTGTGTTGCTCTCCTCTCTCCAGAGATCCACGCTTCTTGGGTTGCATTTCAGTTCAGAAGACATCACAAACACCTTGAAAAATGAATGGTCCCAGGCCCAACCTGTGTCTGGCAGCTCTGTGCCTGACCCCATGCTGTCCATGGCCAAAGCCAGCATGTGACATGAGCTGATCAAGTGACCCATCACATTACTTCAGCTTCGGGGAAAGAAACAGTGACACAGTGAATATTTAAATCTTTCCCTTGTGAACAAAGTGTGTTGCTTAGTAAACAGAGTGCTTTCAGCTAACCAGGCACTGCAGCCCTCCTTCCCTGTTAATGAGATTAATGAGTTGGGCAACCCAGGGTCTGCTTTAATAAATGATTAACTGAGCTTTAGCAAATTCTCATCTGACTTTCCCTTCCTCACCCCCATGTAAATGTCTATGTTGAGAAAAAGAAACTTGTACGCAACTTCGGGATTTGTTTTTCCTATATCAAAAAATGCTTGGGAGATGTGTATTAAATTATCTGTCATCTTATGTATCCTGTCCTGGGTTCTCTATTATCTTTTTTAATATTCTTTTGAGATCCTTTCCAACAGTAGCATTCAAGAGCAACAAGGTATCTCAGATTGAAAGACCTGAGCAATGGGAGTTCTAGATCTATTAAAGTCAAATTACATATATGTATAATTACATAGAGCTGAACTGGGAAATCATATACCTGTTATTTCCTCTGCCAAAACAAACGAAAAACCAGCCAAGCAAACAAGCAAGTCAGATTCTATGTCACTGCCATTACAGCACCCATTAAGAAGGCTAACAAGATACCAGGCTGCCTGAGGACGAGATTGTGGCTTTACACCTATCAGTTGTCTATGTGCACGCAAATTACAGAGGTCTGCTTAGGACTTCCTCCTGTCAAAGAGGAAAACAAGCTGCTCAAACATATTCAAAAGATATGAGCCAAGATAGGAAAGGCCTTACGTATATCAGAAGACAAAAATGTTCACTGCTTACATAACAGAGCAAAAAGATATCAAAGATGGAAAGATACCAAAGATGATGAAACTTAGTGACATCAGACTTGGTTTAGTAGCTCTTGCTTTAGTTTAATAAAACCAGGACCGAAACAGAACCGCCCTATGCTCTGCTATGTTTTGACTAACATGGACAGAGTAAGATTGGCCCTCCTTTCAAAACAGTCACAGAAACCTAACCCCCGCACTCCAGAGAGGCAACCTGTTTATTATGAATTTCACGAGGTTGGAACTTTCACAGGAAAAATCGAGTCATATGATTACATGAGAATTTTACCCTCCTTTCTCATTCTCTTAAAGCCCCAGGGAAAGGTCTGCAAATATTAATCAGGTACACCTTAAAAACACAATATCCTTACCCTTAGAAAGCAGAAGAATCCATGTTTGTGTTTGCATTCAAGTGTGTGTTTGTGCTCATGCATCTCTGTATACATTCACAAAGAGCTTAAAAAAGACAGATTGCATTTCAAAAATTACTTTTTTTTGACTGTTTCTTATCAGTAACGTGCATCCCCGTCTCCCTTCTCTGATTCTTTCCCCACTAAACTATCCTGAATTATGTATTCAAACTATGTAATCAACATTAGAGACAAGCTATCACTAATACATTTCAGCAGTGATTAAAGAAAATTCCAGGAAGTGATTATAGAAGGGGAGTATTTGTAGCCAGCCTTGTGAGCTTGATCTCTGTTAAGTGCCTCCTATGACTAGAAGGGAGAGGGCAATTCAGAGGTGATAATTTAGGTCCTTGCTTTCAGTTGCCCTCAGAAGGAGCCTGACCGATGGTAGATGGATTCCAGGAAGATTTAGCCTCACTGCACAGCCTTAGGATTGCTTTTATGAACACAGTTGATGCAAAGCACCTATCTCTGTAATGACCCACCAAATACAGTTCCATATAATAGGTCTCAGGCTATTTGTACCACTTAAGATAGGAGCTGGGTCCAAGAGAAGGCAGTACATATCTCTCCGTGCTGTGCGAGCCTCACTTCTGTCTTGGCAATCGTTTGCCCCACACCATCATTTGCCTGAGGCAGTGCAGCTGACACTATGAAACTACAAAAAAATGCATTGATTTTAAGCATCTTTATGGACACAAGTGGCAGGATGCACGTAGGAGAATGAAAGACCTTAGGTCCTGAGCTAAGCAGCTCAGGAGAAACAGTCCAAGACGACACAGAAGGGTTTTGGCTGGAAAGCATACCTCCACTGGTAAGACACTGGGCTCCTAGGATAGTTCACATCACTTCCCAACCAAAACAAACTAGACAGGTGAAATGTTGCACCCGTTTTTGGAGTCTTGGCTAGTACACATGAGTCAGAGGTGTTATTTTTTCCCCTGCTGAAACGAGTCATGCCACTTCCAGGTGTGGATTAAGCCTAACTCAGGAAGTGCAAGATCTGGGCTGGAGAGGGGAAAGTCGGAGATGATTAAACAGAGGTGTAAGCAGGTGAATGGAGAGCCAGGGTGATCACTGCGGTGCACAGGTTGCACAGGTGCTTGCCTCTGCAGACAAGGCTGGTCTAAATCCATTCCATGCACTTCACTAGCAAAAGCCATCATCATCTGATTCTTTGAGTGGCTTATAGAAAATTAACTGGGTATCATGGTCTAGCTCTGTCAGACTAGGCTATTAATTTTC